GGGGTCGCGCGCACAGAGGGGAGCGAGAGAGAAATGGGAGGGTTTTCTGGTTTTTAATTAAAAACCAGTTTCAACTTATTTATGATTATGCCACTGGTGATGTTTTGCTCATAACTTTCTCGTTACGACTCTAATTCAAGCCTACCGCATGTCTACAGACTCTTCTCAGTATTATCTACGTAAAGGTACCAGCCATTGCCCGAAATCTTCCCGAATTAAAAATTACCATATTACCCCTACTTCGAGAGCAAAATTGTAAATTCATAATGCTTGAAATTAACTAATTTACTATTCCTTTTATTTTGGGTCGGGATGTTACAATGTAAGTTTGTAATGTAATATTTGACTCAGAAGAGTTGAGCCATTATTGACATTGTGGTTCGGAACAGTGGTGTCGTATCAAGAAAGAAAAATTTAAATTTCTAGATACTTTTGATGAAAGTTCCGAACTTAACGTCCCAGATTGTTGGTAGTCATTGTTGAAATTTCGGGGTGTGACAATAACAAATTGAGAGAATTGTTATGGGGGAACTCATGGTGATAATTATGATGGTGATGATCAATGTTATTGTGCTTATCTCCTCAGTATCACTAGAAGCTACTGATCATAACCCTCTTAATTTCTCTTCACTTGCTTCTAATTCTAGTGTAGACTTTAAAGTTAAAAAATTTCTCCAAAAGATAGAGGAAATTGCAAGAAAAAGGTTCTAGGAAGAAAAACAAAGTCGAATTACGTAAAGGCTTATCATCAAACACTGCCATCAAGAAAAAAGAATATATCAGCGAAGCCTTTCTCTTCACTTTGCGCCTAAATTGCGTTCACCCTGAGGTGGTCTTAACTTGAGAAGCCTTCCTCTTCGAGGAAAACATTCTTCTAGCTAGGCAACGTGATTCTAAAACAATACTTGAGGACCTCGACCCCAAGACAAACAAAATCGATGATGAGCACAAATGCGTTTTCTAATTCAAAATTGGTATAAAGACCATTGGATCCAAAATCACATGAATCGTCAAAATTGACCCACAAGACTCATATCAGTAGTAAGAAAAACTCATTTAACAAAGATTGAAATGCCGAATATATCAGCGAATCTACAAATGGTAGTAAGTATAAGGCTATTCTCATTTCCTCTACCACTAAAAACACCCAGCAGCCCAGAACTCCTAACCCAACAGCCACCTTCCCCCACCCCTCTGTCTCTGGGCAGGCGGGAGGTTTATTAAGGGAATGGCTTTAACAGATGAGCTTGGATGGGGGCTTTGTGTGTGTGTGTGTGTGTGTGTGTGAGAGAGAGAGAGAGAGAGAGAGACAGAGACAGAGACAGAGACGGGCAATATTTTTCTGATAGGAGATGTTCTGTAGTATGTAAAGTCGTAAACACCTGGAACTTTTCACTAGACTAAAAAGATATATCAATAAACTGTATACAACAAATATTTAGTTATGAATAAAAAAAATTAACTTATGAACTTTAGAAAGGCACAGAGACTATACAAAGAGGCTGTATAGATCGGCATTCCATGCATAATATGATAATCAAGGCAAAGGCATTGGCGGTCTCCAATCAGAAAACTGTACCCAGTTTCTATTTACAACAGATCCATTGTGCAGCCAGAATGTTTCAGTTGACTGGTGAAACAGCCTGACTTTCCTCTGAAGTTCCCAAAGAATTGCATGCATTGCAGAACATGAAGCTGATTCAGAAGCATAGGCCCATAAACATCTTACTTGTCTGCCACGGCTTATCATCCCCTCTATATTTTCATCTGCCGGAGAGTAAAAAACAAAGAATCGAAACATAAGAAAATGGACAGAAGTTTTTGCTATGATATGCTGAAATAAAGATTGACCAGAGCAAGATGTAAATGGAGTGCTGCATTTGACCTGGTATTGACTCTAGGTACTGCAAAAGCTCGGGACCTATTCGAGTGGACGGCCATTTAATTGATATCTGGGTGTAGTCAACAACATTCTGGAAAGGCAATTCTACTTGATCTGATAATATCACAGGGACACACTCCTGTAGCAGCAAGAAAAGCATTATTTCTACAGATCTAACATCTTATGTGCAGGCCGAGAGAGAGAGAGAGAGAGAGAGAGACCACAAAGAAAGCCTCATAAAAACGAAGAGTCCAAGATGACTCCCCACGTGGAGCAAGGCAGAACTTGGCGTTGCGCAGATGTTCAAAATAATCTATCCTTCCCAATTTGTCAGGACCACTGAACTTCAGCTCTGGGCATTCCAACTGTTCATAATATTAACAGACATATTTTGAATATCTCTCCCTAATAACAGTGTACAAGAATTAAAGTAATGTAATCATGTCCAATGAGACTTAATGACAATGATATGGCCATGGTAATCAGCCATTTTAACCCAAAAACAAACAGAAATTCCACCAAAAAAACAAAACAAAGCAAAAAACACATAAAATAAAGGAAAAGGACCAAGTCGCTAACACGATGCAAATTCTAGTAAACTCACTTACAGCTAACTGTTTAGTTTGAAGTTCAAAATCCAAGCATTAACAGGACTGACAAGTTCTAACTACTTGTGTAAGCTCTTCAATTCCAGCATATAAACATGTCAAAGATTATATAGAAAACATCCGTACTTAGTACTTACAAGTTCCAACTACTTATGTGCATTCATAATGCTTTTCAAGTAAATGCGCCAAATGGGCTTTCTGCTTTATTCCACAAAGTTTTTAAAAAGTGGATTACAGAGTATCTTTTCCACAGAAAATACCCATAGCGTAGATAGAACTCAATAAATATCTCAAACTTCAAACTTGAATTGAACTCGACATCAAAGGTGGAAACTAGATAAGATGCATGAAATTCCACAATTGAGATAATCACATTCCGCCAATCAGGTGTCATACCTTATCTGGAAATTGCTTTGAAAGCTCTATCAACTTAAGACGGCCAACCTTTCCTTGTGCACGGCCTAAATAGTTTGCTAAAAACTTCCGTTTTGACAATGGCAAAGGATGAACCAAGGTGGCCCCATTTGTAGTCATCCCGTCCTCAACATTCCCAGGAATAATGATATCTTTCCACGTATTGAAGGCACTTGTATCTTTCTTATCAGTGCGATCACCCTGCACTAACATATAAATTACGTATCTTTTATGTATTTTCCCTCTCATAAATAATCTTTTACGCCATAATAAAAGCTTGCAATAGAACAAACTACATTCGATGTATCAATTCCATTACCAAAGTGCTTTAAATGTGGAAACACAGGCTAAAAAAACTTCTTGTCCTGTAACATAAATGATTTAGAATATAAAAATTATGGGAGAAAATAGTGACAATGACTCACGTCCAATATTTCTTTTCCAATTGATAAATCCTTCCAGGTGCATTCTTCTATATAAAATAGTAAAACAAAGTCGGTGGATGTATCAACACCTCCAATCAATCATCTCTCAAGAGTTATACCATCATTTTCTCTGCATTTGCATTCCGAACATAAGTTCCATTTTTCAATTGTTTTTTGAACCTTTCCTTCTGCCCTAATTTAATTGGATTGGATGCATATACTCTAACATTTCATACTTATCGAGCAATAACTCTTTTTTATGGTAACAAAAGACAAAACAAAAACAAAAACTTTTTATATGTAGTAGTTGGAAATATTTGTATCATACAAAAAATTGTTTGAGATGGTAGAATATTATTGTCCCTAGACCTAGACCAGAAGTGAACTAGAGTAACAATTGTTTATAACATTCTGCTAAAGCAATCTCCAAAGATTCTTCTTCTTGTACAATAGAAAAATTTATTCTTACACGATAATGTTTATATCAAATTGTATAAATAATATGCAAGGCATGTGTTTGACAATCCTGTACATCATACAGGTTTCAGACTAATTTTAATGTAGACTTTAAATCCAAAACCCATAAAAGTTCAAACCAGATTTCTCATACACAATGTCACACGTAGAACTCCTATAGAAAAATATCAGAAGTAAAACAGACCCACTCTGTGCCCCTTACATGAACAGATTCTTAACATGGACATTTATGACCACTGTGTTTAAGGCCCAAATTGACTTGACACTAAATAGCTGAGTCCTTATAATGGAAATTTTAGTCAATCAGTAGCACTATTAAATTTGTAAAATAACTTAAGCATAAAGGATGGAATAAGTAAATACCTCAGGGGTAAGAATAATGGAACGATTTATGTATGTTGCCCAAGATCTAAATAGGTGAGCTCCAGCACCACTGTGAAAACAAGAAAGTCAGCATCATTGACACAGCTTGAAAAGTTTGGTACCTTTTCTTTTTTGAGAAGAACAAAGGTTTGATAAGGAATAATTTTTTACAAGTCCATCACAGTCATAGGATAGACTTTAAACATTTTTCTTCAACTTTAAATAACAAGAAAGATTATAAAATTATCACGTTTACCATGGCTACTCCATACAAATGAAAGTTTTTATCCTTTTATCCTAGGCCAGACATAATTCCGTGCAGGATATAAGCATTTTTTGATGTAGAACAAGTAATAAGACTTTGAAAACAGACAGGGATTTCAAAATTGAAACATCAATGGATTCCTGAATAGGAGGAGCATCAATCACTGGGTTCCTGATGGGATGCTGTTCACCCTGGAAATGGTACTTTTTGGAACCCCTGGAAGGATATCTCCTTGGGGTACCAGCCCTTCAATGTTGTGACTTGATCATTGGAAATGGGAACCTGGTGTTGTTCTGGGAGGATACTTGGTTGGAAGAGGGTTCTTTGACGGAGTTGTTTCCTAGATTGTTTGCGCTCTCTAGGAATCAACAACATTGTGTTTCCAGTCTCGTGGATTGATATGTTCATCCTTACAATTGGAACTTCGGTTTCAGGAGAAATCTTAACGAGGTGGAGGTGAGTGAGTTGTTGTGATGGATGTTGCAGATTTTGGATAGGGTTCGACTGTCCCAATGTTGCAGTGATAGCAGAAGGTGGAAGCTTGATGGGTCCGGGTCGTTTTCCTGCAAATCCTATAGTTCTTTTCTCTGTAATAATGGCAACATGGAGATTTTTTTCTCCCGCTTCCCAGATTTGGAAGTCTAAGGTCCCTCCTAAAGTTAAATTTCATGTGTGGTTGCTAGCTCTCAGGAAGCTCAATACCTGTGACCGTCTTCAAAAGAAGAGGCCTTATATGTGTCTTTCTCCCCACAGGTGTGCTATGTGCAATCTTTGCGAGGAAAGTGTTGATCACGTGCTTCTTCACTGCCCTTTTTCTTTACAAGTTTGATGGAAGTTGTTCAGGGCGATTGATGCTTGCTGGGTTATTCCTGAAGGTGGTTATGATTTTTTGAGTAAAGCTTGAGGCTCTAGGCAAGGGGAAGAAAGCCAAAACTCTATGGGGTTGTCTGGTGTACGCAGTTCTGTGGAATATTTGGGTGGAGCGTAATAGAAGAATTTTTTAAGATTACAAGGAGAGGGGGTTGACGAAATTTGGAACAGAGCTAGATTCTGGGTAGCTTTATTGGCTTCAGTTTCTTCAGACTTTTTGGATTATTCCCCTACTATCATTTTGTTGGATTTGGTGGCAGCGGTAAAATGAGGATACGGTCCTCCTTTCCGTTTGTTTCTTTTTCCTTTTCCTCTTTTGTGTTCATTGGTTTTTTTTTTTTTGTGTTCATTGTTCTGGTTGGCTGTGGATGCCTTATCCACCTTTTTAATATATCGTTTCTCTTATATAAAAAAATCACTGGTAGGACTGGCTCAAAAATAGGAAGATCTTGCTCAATCTTCGGTAGGATTGGATCTGTCAGTTCAAGAACAAGAGAAGCTTGGTCAAACATTGGTAAGATGGGGTCTTTTGGTTCAAGAATCAGATCCATCAAAACAAAGAGAAGAGAATCTTGATGGATCATTGGATCATTAAAGACAGGAGCACCTTCAGGCTCCAATAGAGTGGATGTTTTCTCTATCGTGCAGCCATGTAAGCTTGACATGCTGAAAATTGGGCATCCAAGGTGTCACGAAATTCTGCTCTTGTTTTTTTTTTCACTTTTTGTGGTTTTATTAATCCATGTGTAGTGGCAGCGAGATGCTAGGTTGAAGGAGATGGCTTGTTAGAGCCCAATATCCCACATTGGAAAAATAGCACTTCTTGGGATGGTTTAAGAGCTCTTCCGGACCCTTCTCTTACAAGCTGATTTTTAGGGGCAAGTTCTACCCAGGGGCTCTCAATTGGTATCAAAGCCTAATTTCAGCACACAACTGGGTCAGACTGTGCAGAATGGGTGACCTATAGGCTGGATTAAGATTATCAGTATTTGTATCGTCACGTTCTTATTACTTTCCAATTTCTAGTAGATAGAGGATTACTGTCCTGTTTGTAGCAGGATTAGGTTGTCATAAATGTGTTTTGTAATTCAATAGTAACAGACTTGATTGAAGAATGAAATTATCTCTTCTTATATTTTCTTTTGTATCTCTATCATATAAACCCTAATATCTCTTCTCTTCTAGATTTCTCTTCCATCTATCTATTTCTCTCTGCACCTGCTCTTCTACCGTTATAATTTTGTTTCTAATCCTCTGTTTTCTTCTTCTAATTTCCTTGTTCTGTCTTTCTATTTTTTTATTTTCTATTATCTTGAACCGTAATTCTCTTATCCTCTAAAATCCTTTCTAGTTTTTAAGCTCCCATTACTTGCTTTACATCAGTTTTCCTTTCAAAATTACACACATATAGTGGAAGGCAAGAAACCACTCAGTTAAATCATTTTAGGGACTGTTCTACAGCTAAAGATCCATATCAGTTATTTTTTTACCCTTCTTCCAAGATGTGTGCTCAACATTTTGACCCAACCATTTCTCTGATATAGATATACAACAAAATTATGGTTATTTACATAGTTATACGTATTCCACAAAGAAAACAATTAAGGGTGGAACAATGTATGATTTCTATTTTCAGGCCAAACCCAAAAGAAAAAAAAAAGTTACTGACCAAACCAAAATACCTTACCTAGGGAAAACAAATATGTGGTCACGGCCGCCAGATCGCCTGAAATATGGCATTTGACTTAACACCTGTAAGAAACAATTTGACTGAATGAGCATAACATAACAAGATTTTAGACTTATCCCCATCAATTATAAAGCTCATCACCGCGCAAAAGCACAGCTACAAGAAACGCCTAGACTTTAGGTTTCTAAATGAAATGAAAAGGAACTTACCTTCACATATGTCTGGTTAATCTCCTTATCATTAAGACCACCCATCATTCGAACGCATTTAGCATACGCAGGCACAAAAAATAGGTCTGCTTCCTCTTTCTTCCGTGTTCGGAACCTCGATTTTAGCAGTAGCCTGTGTATTTTAACCTACATTTGATAACAAAGCAAATTCAAAGCCCACATAAGATTTTCTTTCTTTTCTCCATTTAGAAAGTTTCTCAGCAACAACAAAAGAACCTATAACCAATGATTCTACCCAAGTTAAGGCTTAGAAATTTAAGCACAGGCAGTAGTCAGGATTTCAAGCAAAGCACTAGTATAATAAGTACTAGCTTTCATATATTACATTTTGCAAAAACCTAGACTTGGCTTCAATTGCAGCATAAACAAGGTTAGTTTTTTTTCCTACACATTTTTCAGTTGCCAACAGAGCTTGAATTCTAATCTACCCAAATTTAAAACAATTTATAAAATCAAATCAAATCAATTTCATCAAAATTGAGAAAGGAAATTACCTGAGTGCCCCACTGACCTTTCAAGCAAGTACTGGAGTCGATAGTGCCATCCCTCCCGTGCATCAAGGCCTTGAGGCCATCGATCTCGCTGTCATCGTAGACGTAGATTTTGAGGTCGAGGTGGGGCCCGTACCCCCGATGGGGCCACAAGAGATCTCGACCGTCGGAGACATGGACGGAGCTCCGAGAAGTGGGGATGAGATCAACGGTGGAGAAGTGAGAGGCGCAGGGGCGGAAGGAGCGGTCGAAGAGGCTTGTGAAGAAGAAGGTGGCGGCGACCAAGAGGAGGGCTCCGATCTGGTGCGTGCGGGTGCAAAGAGGCTGCTGGTGGTGGTGCTGCCCGCCGAAAGGTCGGGCTTTGTTGTTAACACTACCCATTTTCGGACTCTGGGAATGAGTTTCAGACTGTCAGTGGCTGGAGTTGTTCTTCCGCTTCTGGGGAAGAAGGCATTGGATGAAAACGACGTCGGCTGGCACTGTGTTTAATTATTTATTTATTTTTGTTAATGAAAAAGGGTAATTAGAATTTAGATCGTCTTTCAACATTAGCTAGATGCAAGCTAGTTGATCATCTTTGGACGTCCCTAAAAATACTAATTAACAAAAAATCTCATATGCAAAGGCAGAAAGCCTTTAAAGGTGAAACATTCAAACTCTCTTAAAATACCTTGACTTGTAAATTCGAGATCTCAAATTTGAACTCCTATGAAATTTTAGTTGTGAGTGTAAGAAACCCCCATTCCTCTATAATTTAGACTATCGTTTGTACTCAAAAAAATCCCTAAAAATACCTTCTCATACATAAAGGCCAAGGTGAAATATTCAAAATCCTTGAAAATACCTTTAATTAACTCAAGATTCTTAAAAATAAAATGCAATATGGTGAGGGTAAAATAGTAAAACAATACAACTACAAATGGTTAAAATGAAAAGAAAAATAGGGTAATTACAACAAACTGCATAGTTGAACTTCCCATGTTGCAGAGCGGGTTCAATCGTCTCCACCCACATTATTTTTTCCTGTTTGATTTTCAATTTATTTTATTTTATTTGTTAAATTATAAAATAAAAAGGTCAGTCACACTCGTGACCATAAAATAATTTCTCTAATGGCATGTTTACTAATTCATAATCATAATCAAAATAAGGAGATGAATTCCTATTTTCTAATTACTCTCATGTTTACTTCACTTGGATGAATTCCTGTTTTCTAATTACTCTCCAACCCATTTGAGGCTAAACCCAAATTTTCCCCCTTCAAAAAAAAACTATTTGGAATTTGCCCGGGCTCAAACCATTTTTTCTCCCAACCCTCCAGACTCAAATTTTAAGACCGCAACTTTATTAAATTGTTTAAAAATGGTTTAAGTCTAATTTTTTTTTATGGATAATTTTTCTTCATTTAATCTTTTTAAATAACTTCATAATTTTATTTTTTTTAACAATTTGACCTAAAAAAATTGAAATTCCACAAATATAATTTTATTCCAAAGAAAACACACGACATAAAAGAAACACACAACATAAAAAAAACACACAAGATAATTGAAACACAAAAGGAGGATTGAAACAATTGTCGACCTCATTCACCATCTCCAAAGCTCCTCCAAAGGTGATCGATCAAATCATGTCGGAGACTCTAATGCACATGTGGAGATCGAACTCTATTATGACGAATCATGTAATCAGAGAGAGTCTGCTTATCTTGGTGGTACTCGTATGTAACGCTTGGCTCCAGCTCATATTGTCGCGCTCTGGCCCTCCTGGATCGTTGTGGACACGTATCCTCATCATCAGATTCCTTTTCAACATATTCATACTCATCCTCCACAATCATGTTGTGCAAAATTATACACGTCAACATGATTGAGTGGAGGTTATCCTTGCACCACATATGTGTAGGGCCCCAAACAATAGCCCATCGAGCCTGTAGTATTCCAAATGCTCTTTCAACATCCTTCATGTACGCTTCTTACATTTGTGTAAAAATCCTCTTCTTTGGGTTATCAAGAGAAGAGATGGTCTTCACCAAAGTTGATATAACCATTATTTCATACATTTTTATTATCTTTCTCATAGATTCTTGCTATGTTCTTGAGTGAGTTTAGTCCTTTTTTACTTAGTTTTGTGTTTTACTAGGTTTGAAGAGTAAAGATGGTAAAGCGAGCAAAAGGAGCAATTTTGGGATTGAAATATGATGTGCAATCCTGGGAGCAGAATGTGCTGTGCAGAACAGTCAACTTGACAGAATATACTGTACTTCCTCATAGTGAACCAGATGTTGAGCCTTATATCTTTGGAAAGATACGGATGTTAGCTTTTTGTAGAATTTTACGGTTCGCGATTCGGACGTGTGTGGAGAGAGTTGTGGCCGTTTTAGTACAGACAGTTCGGGCAGAATGTGTTCTGCGGGTTTTGCAAAATAATCCTTTTGAAGTTCAATCCTTGGAGTTTAATTTGTGTCAATCACATTTGGGAAGTGTCTACAAAGATGTGGAGTTATTTTCTAAGGTCTGATCCTATATTTAGTAGGATTTTGGATGCCAACTCATCAAAGACAATTGAAGCCAAACTAGGAAAGCATAGTTACCAAGTCAAAAGAGGATTTGTTCCTTATTTAAAGAAGACCAGAAATTAGGTTCTGGGATGCTGGAGTTTGAAGGAGAGTCAGAGCCGCTGCCATCATCAAGTTCTCGAGCATCATCACAATCTATAAGTTTTATTTTATGTTTTCTAGTTTTTCAATTATGTTTTCTTTGAACATGAGTAACTAAGTTATTCTCTAGGGCGAGGATGACGCCCGAGCATGGATAGTTATGATTTCTAATGTTATTTAATGGATTCTAAGTTTCTTTTAGATGAATGTTTAATCACTATTTTAATTGTTGCTATTTGTTTAAGTTCTTTGACTGATCACCTTAGGGCTTTGCATCTAGTAAATTGGAAGATGAATTTGAGGCAGAACTCGCAATATAATTCAATTAGCTTCTTGTGATTAAGTGTGGTGAATTACATTATTGCTTGACGAAGAATAATGGTTTGCTTGGTTCTCTCGTTTTCTAGAACGTAATGAATCCAACTTGTTAAATGTATGCCTTAACCAGGATAGATTGCAGGATTGGGTATATGATCTTTGTCTGAACTAGAAAAGAATCTTACACTTACGGAAAACTATGGTCTGAGTGCCTGAAAAGGACTTAGATACGGGAATTATCATCTAAAGAATCGAAAGAATCTGTTGAATGCATTGAAATCTAACTTGGATTGCTTGTGGTTGATTCCGAAACCCTAGACCTTCATCATTGTTTGTTAACCTTAAAATTCAACCTTTTTATTCTCAATTGTTTTTATTAATTTCTTTGTTTTCATAAACTTTCACAACAACAATCTCTACAAATTCACTTGCGTATCAGTTAGATTTAATTTAGGTATTTGAATATTAGATTAATTTGGAATCCTCGTGGGAACGATACTTGGACTTGTCAAACGCTATACTACATCAATCTTGTGCACTTGCAAGGACAGACCAAGTAGCCAACGGGGGTAGATCCCATTTGCCAAATAGTAGCCTAAATATATTCAACATGAGGAGCCACTCCATGTACCACATCATTGAACAATAGAGAACGAGCTAAAATGTTGATATCATTGTTGGATCTAGCAGCTTCAAAAAAGGCATGCCATATCCATGTGTCGTACGAGGCCACGACCTTTAGCACAACAGTTTTGTGATCGGTAAACTGGCCTGCCCAAGCAGATGGCAGTTCTTCCATTCTCAGTGCAAGCAGTCAAGACTTCCTAACATGCCTGGGAAGCCTCGATGACTTGCCTTGTGAAATAACCTGTCAAGGTCAGTTGGATTTAGAGACCTGAGGTACCATTGTCCAAACACAGCTTCAACAGCGCAACAAAACTTACGGAGTGATTCAAGAGCTGTGCTTTCACCCAATCTACAATACTCGTCGATCGCATCAGCCGAGCATCCCCATGCGAGCATACGAAAGACAGTAGTTAACTTTTGTCAGGAGATAGCCCTTGTCGGCTAAGCCTGTCATTTTTATGGCAAAAGTATGGCTCGTAGTTGACAACATCATTCAAGATGCGGTAAAACAACTTTTTCCGCATTTTGAACCGCCTACAAAAGTTCGTAGTATTAAAATGTGGCCTTTCAACGAAGTAGTCGGACATGAGATTACAAGAGCGATCGTCCTTCTCACAGTTCTTGTACTCACGACTGACTACTGGCCCACCATGTTTGGTGGCTTCATTCTCCAGTGAAGTATGATGAACAATGGCTTGTATCACTCTTTGATGATGTTCCTCATCATTTGAATCATCATCAAACATAAAGTAAGTGATGGCCTTACCACGGTTATCCATTGAAAGCTTGAAATGATAAGAAAAGTATGAGAATGAAGAAGGTGATGTGCTTGAAATGATATGAAAAGTATGAGAATGAAAAGAGATTGATGAAATTGACAAAGGAAAAATAAATTGAGAAATAGAAAAAATATTTTTGGTAGATTAATTGAGAAATGGGTGAGTATTTATAGAGTTTGGAGTGAGTTTTGGGGTTGGATATGATTTAGATTAATTTAAAATATTATTTTGATCGTTGGATTTAAATTTCAGGCATTGGATATTTTTCTTTATTCCTTTAATATAGCTTAGATTTAATCTAGATCGTTGATTTAAATTACTATTAGAATATAAAAATAAAAATAAAAACGAAATTTGAATTGTTGTCGTTGGATTCCAACAGCAACATAACCAAAATGCGACACTTGGCAAGCTGATGCGTCAGGCAGCAGACAACCATTGCAGCGCAGGCCCCAATCTAATTGCTTGCACATGGGTTGCACCAGCAGTAGGTGGGCTCCACTGAAATTTTTTTTGGGTCCAGGCAATAGCTGGACTACTATTTGGCCCCAAGTTTGGGTTTCCCAAATTTTTGCCCCTTCATTTTCTTGGGTTGAAAGAGGTTTTAGGCTATATTTTGGGTTTGGCCTCATGGTCCTTGTTTTATTTATTTCCTTTCTTTTTCATTTCTGTTTTGTGTAGGGAAACTAAATTGGATCATTCAATCACCAATCCCTGTGGAATCGACCTCGCACTTACATACGCTAAACTACCAACGGTTCGTGCACTTGCGAGTATCACAAGTTGAGGATGCAGCTTAATCCATTTTGGTGCAGCTGTATCTACACAACAGCACGCCATAAGTGTAGCCTCAATTCCTCTTTGAGAGCACTATACAGTTGTGTTATAAAACGTGACGTGTTATCAGGACTCTCAATAAAGTCACATAGACAAATGAATGTACAACAATAAATCTCTACTCCCAATAAGGAGAGATAATACTCATAAGATATGATTGATCAAATCTTTGCGTAAAGTAGTGCATGTGATTTGGAAGAAGATGTTTTCAAATCATAACCACGATAATTACATAGAAAGATAATTCACATTAAGGTTTTGATATAAGCATCTATAACCTAATAATGTGAATCAGGAGTATTGAATTAGATAAGGATTCAATTGCACGGTCATTCCAACTTGAATAGGTTCTTCATCTTTTCTTATTAGCTTAGGCAACTATGGCATATTGTTAGGTATCAACCATGACTTGTGGAAGTCCTGTAAGGTTTAATTATAATTGGTCTTTACTAATAGGAAGAATTAAATGGTCACAATCAATTCGGAAGAGTTGAGACAACCCACTGCCACGCTAAAAGGAACCTACAGATTGCAGACGGAAAAATGTAGTTAGAGGCATATGAAGAGGAAAGAAACTCAAGATACAAAAGTCAAAGTCAATGGTCAAAGTCAAAGTCAAAAATGTTGACCAAGTCAAACTATTCAGACTATGGTTGGAACCAACTTTCCCATGTTCTATGATTCTAAGTAGAAGTTGTTGTGAGTTTTCTAGACATAGGGTGTACTATGAGTATTTTAGTAGTTAAATAGAGTATACTTAGTTAATTTTACATTTTGATTTAATTATTAGGGTGTACTTAGATCATAGGTTGTACTCAGTTAATTTTAGGGTTCGTTTAACAATACCTTTTGGCTGTGTTTGATGGGGTGGACTGGATGAGACTTTTTCAATTAAAATGGACATGAGTCCAGTCTGTTGTTTGGTGGGCTTAATTGTATCACACACTGGCTAAGACTTAAATTTCTGTTTAAGATATGAATCCTGCATACGCTGGATATCAAAACCCACGTCGAGACATGGGTTCGGAAGACTCCCCGGCGTCGTCTCCTCTTGCCAAACGTGAAGTTTGCCTCATGTCGTCTCCATCACTTCGTCTCCTCGGCGTCGTCTCCCCCAACCACTTTCGCGTCGTCTTTGCTCTTACTCCTCTCCTCTCTCATCTCTCCTATCTCTTCTTCTTTTCCTATCTTCTCTCTTCAAATTTTTCTTTTTTAAAAACTGATTTCTCTGTTTGTTATCCATATTTTTCTGGGTTAGATATTGAGTGTTGTAGTTTTTTGAGTTTGATTTCTTTTCATACCTTTCATTGAAGATCTTTAGGGTTTCCCATCCAGAATTTGCATATATTTTTTTTTTTTAATGTTGTTTGTAATTTGTATTTTCTTGGATCTGAAAGTTATATTGTAGATTTTTTCTCTCTCGTAATTATCTGTTTTATAAATATTGTATAATAAAAAAGATAGATTTTCTTCTGATAGAAAAAGAATGACCTTCTTTTCTTTTTCTGATAAAAAAGATGAATTTTGGGGGTTTACTATTTTGATATTGCTCCAGCCTGGGTTGACTCCTTTATGCTGGATGATCTGCTTAGTATTAGTAGAGCTTGTCTTGTGGGTATTGGGGCTACTTTGTTTGTTTGTTGTTGGGGTTTAACCCTTTTTTTCCTTGTCATAAAAAGAAGACGAATTTTATATGATAAAGATAAATTTCGATTAGAAAAAAAAAAGATACTGAAAAAAAAGAAGGAAGAAAGATACTGAAGAAAAAAAAAAGTGAGGCACTGAGGCAAAAGTTGGAATTTTGCATATAATTATTGTTAATCAAAAAAATAAAATAAAATATTGATTTATTAAAAAAATATTAATTTTAGTCCGTTTGGTGCAAAAATGAATAGGATTAGACTCAAGCCTAGCCAGTCTAAAATGGCCTAATCCAATACTTCAAATTCTATCCTAAACCAGTCCAAGTCAGTCTTTATGGTCTTATGGTCTTTATGTGTGAAAACGCCTCCAAGATTTTGACGGAGGGCATAATTGGTACTTTACAGGAAAATAAATTAAAGAGGCGGAGATTGGGGAGGGGCGGCAATAATATTCCCCTTAAATAAAACACCCCCATTTATTTTTTGGTCGAAGAAAAAAACACCCCCATTCGCCCAACAGCTCACACCCCAAACAAATATAAACATCCCTTGGTTAAATTGTATTTGCTATTTGCATAATAAGCACCACTGAACTCTGTCTACCGAAAACCCTAGAACCTCAAATTTGATCCCATCAGCGGACAGACAGCCATGGCTCGTCACAGAGACGAAGATGACGATGAGATGGACCCAGAGGAAGAGGACGACTACGAACCAGACCAAGTTATAGACGAGGATGAAGAAGAGGAAGAGGAGGAGGAGCGAGGAGGACGACGCTCCAGTCAGAAGCGGAGGAGATCGGATTTCATCGACGATGCTGCAGAGGAGGACGATGAAGAGGAGGAAGAGGACGACGAGGATGATGAGGCTTATGGTGGTGGTGCGAGTCGTAGGCGGAGGAATAAGAGGCCCAGTGGGTCGCAGTTTCTTGATATCGAGGCTGAGGTCGATACCGATGATGAGGAAGATGAAGATGAAGGCGAGGACGGTACGCTCT